GCATGGAATAATGTCCGGGATTACGATAATTAAAGAGTGTGATTAGTTTTATTACGGCCGAACGGCCGTAATAAAATGAACGGTGAAAGTTTCCGGCGGGTAAGGAAAATTAACTTATAAACGCAATTTTGTATTTTATTCACGGCCCGTTTCCTCAGCTGCAGAATAATATTTTCTGCGAGAACGGAGCGACATATATTCTAGTTTCCGATAATCGTTATAAATCGCACCGTGTCGCTGCTTAATCGCGACGTGATGGAATAACCTGTTTAATGCCCTTATTTAGTGACATTATATGCAGCTAAAACGGCGCTCCTTGAGTATTCAGGTCAAAAGGCTGCGCGCTCTTTTCAGCTCGGCAGTGCTGGCGCAGAAAATGGAACAAACACACTCCGCGATAATTTAACTTGAGTTTCGGGCGGAATCTCCCCCCCCCCTCGCGGCCTTATCCTTTGAAATCCTTTAATGGGAATTCTTTGCGACTATACTGCGAGATGACTTAACTCAGTGATAATATTATTATACTTGGCCTGAAAACTTGGGAAGGACTCTTGATACGCGAGAGAAACGAGAGTTGAGCTGTTTCGCGAAAGGGGAAACGGTCAATGCGACTTTTCCGGCAGCTTCTGGAAATTAATCAGCTAAAGATACCACGATTAGACCTCAATGTGCTTTCAAACTAGTTTCGTTATTTTTAAGAGCGTGTTTTACGGATTGAGGATCCACAATTGGCTTTAAAACGTAATTTCGAGCACTACTATACGAATTTTCAATCTTGTTAGAATGATCTTCCCTGCTTCCGTTGCTTGCGCCAGGAAACCAACGTCATCGGCTTCGCGAGACGACGATCACTTGTTCGACATCCACGGAAGATGTTACTGTCGGTAATTTTATTACGATTTTCGATTCTCTCCGATTTATCGGTGTACCGAGTGAATTCGTATATACGGTCGCTGAACTCGAAATGTGGCTTGGTGGATCGATCCAACTGCTCGTTCTAGAGAAAGAGAAACCGAGAGAGAGAGAGAGAGAGAGAAAGAAAGAGAGAGAGGGGAAGGATAAAAAAGACATAGTAAAAGAAGGAATCGGAAGGAGAAAAAGGATCGTACCTGGCGGGACCATTCCGCGCGTAAAGCGCAAGTAAAAGCACGAACGAAAGGTAAGATAATGGAAAGTTGGAAAGAGCGCCGATCCACCGGAGACAGGTGAGAGGGGTGTGGAACGGCAATACTTCAAATTCATTTGCGCGACAATCTCCGGTTCCTTTCGCTTCGCGGCTCCTGCACAACTCGCCGTACCAATAAAATCAGAAGTTCGCTTCATTGGAAGCGACGTCGATGGCCCGAGAGAAACGAGGGGAGCAAGAGCGTGACGCGATAATTATACGCATCATAGAAAAGAGAAGGAGAAGGAGGAGAAGGAGAAGGAACAGAGAATGTTTCGCCGTGGTTCTGGAGCAACGAAACGAGCCATATCGGAATATAGCGAATATCGTTCAAAGTATCGATAGCGTATACAAAATATTCGTGGAACCGATCGCGTAATTGAGTTTCCTCCGCCGTTTCTTCGCGGAGGAAAGACGGAGGGCGGCCGGAAGGGAAACTTGAAATCGTCGCTTCGGCAAATTGCCGAGCGAAAATTCGCTGGGCGCGACAGACAGGAAATGAAGCGCGCTCGCTGTCTTTCGATGGCCGCCTTTTTGTCCGCCTTTCCGCTTCTGTCGACGGGGTGTCGCGACGGCCGGGTTAACTCCCGGCGCGGTGGTGGCAACGGCAAGCGCGCGCGCGCGCGCGAAAACGCCTCCCCGATAAGTTATCGCCTAATTATGAAGCCCGCGAGACGCGACGTTTGCACGTAACCCCGGTAACTATAAAGCGCACGTTACGCTCGTTTTTCACAGTTGAAAAATCTCCGCGGGGTATGAGCCTTAAAATGTAGGCAGGCAGCCGAGCGTGCACGTGGCGGCTCTTGATACGCTAAGCAAATTTGACGATGAAGCTCGTTTGTACGCGGGGAAAAGCGCCGCCGCGGAATGTCCCATTCGGATTGACTTGCCGAGGGCGTGCAGCGCGAGATCGAGGATTAAATGGAGAGGACGGATTAAATGAATAGTCGGAGACGGAGAGAGCTCTTGAAAAATTTCTTACCGTTTATGATCTAATTTATTTTTTCGCTTACGATACCGGAAGGTATCGTCACCCCTCAATATCGATAAAGCGACGGTGCAAATGGCCCTCAACTATCTCGACGATGTAGCCATTTTTACGCATCTCGAACGAAAATGCGAGAGAGGAATGACAAAGTGGATCGATCAAAGCGCATTAGACGCGGCGATTAATCGCCACCGTTATTTCCCGGCTTTTTCGCCACTTCGCGTCTCGCGGGCTCGACGCGACAGGGCGAAACGCGCTCCGCTCCGCCGCGCGCCGGTCGCGTTAGCCCTTTTATATTTTCATTAACCGTCATTATTCCGCCTACGCTTTGCGGCGGTCACCCGCGTGCGCGACGTTTTTCCGCGTGCAAAGCGGAAGCGGACGGATGCACATGCACACGATGCGCGGGCGGCAGCGGTCGTTACAAAGGCGGATCAAATTACAACTGGTGCGGGGATTAAAGCCGGAGGAAAAAAAAGGGAGATAGCGTTTGCGTTGCCACGCAAAAAGGCACATCCGCGAATCCGCCTCTCATCGGTCCGCTTTATGCGTGTGTCGAGCGGCTTCGGTGGTCTTCTCTTTCCGCCGCCCCCCTTTCGTGGCTTCCGCCACTTGCACCGGTTACCCGCCCGTTTCCCGTCTTCTCATTCTTCTTTCTCGTTTCGCCATTTCGCTCGACGATTCCCCGACCGCCGTGCTCCGAGCTCTTCCTCGAATTAACGTCCCGCCCATGAATCCGCTAATAAATCTCGCGAACCACTATTACCGCCGCCAGTCCGCTTCGAAGGAAGCTAAATCTTCGGATAAGGGTAAAATGGCCGCGAACCGGTCATCGGTTGACGAATTTATACGGCTCGAAGAGCACGGCGAGAGGGGAAGAGCGGCGCCCACGATTTCGGCCGCAGCGAAATGTCGAGGCGCGGCGGTGGAGGTGAAGCGCGACCCGCGAATCCGTGATGATAATATTGATTTTTGCGATTACGCAAGCACGCGGCGCGGCGCGAGTTTGCCTACACGCGCGAATACACCGTATATATATATGCATCGAAAATATTATTTATTTTATAAACACGCGTATACATATCACCGAGCGTATCGCGTTTGCGTAACCGCGCCCGCGCATGAACTCTCTCCGCGCGGGCATATTCTGCGTCTCTTCGCGCCGCCGCCGCCGCGAGCGGTAATCCCGGGTTAACGCTTTGCTTCATTAATATGTTTATAATCGTAATGACGCATCACTGATTGTTAAAGCATTCTATTGTGCGTTCGTTTTAAATCATTATTACGCGGTAATATCGAGAGAATTATTAATTAATTATGCTGCGTGATATCGATAACGAGCCGATATTGTGTCGGCGATATCAAAGCTGTATTTGTTGCTCGCGCGTTGTCGCTGTAACAAGCGAGCATTGTTTTTAAAATCAAAGAGAGGCGTGATACAACGCACACCGTGGAAACTCGACGCATGATTGAAAGCTATGCCTTGTCCGTCGGATAATAGACGAGAACGTTATAAAATTCGCCGCGGTTTTTTCTCGCCCGTTTTCGTCTAATCTTCGTCGAGATGACATCGTCGAAAAGTTCGGTGGAAGACGACGACGTTCAATTACGAAGTACAAAGGGTCGCCCGTTATTCCCGGTTGCCCGTACATTTGTTTGTCCTCCATGAGACTGTCTGGGATGGATGACCATTGTTCTTACAGATTGGGGCTTTCGCAAGGATTAATGAGAATGGCTCGGCCGTTCACCGAAATCCGATTGGAAAGCCCACTCAGACCGTTTAATATCGTGGTTTTTTTCCCACACCCGAAGTGTGTGCGCGTGACAATTAATGCTAAAATAGAATGGATCGTGGACGGACGTATAAATAAATATAAAAATATACAGAGCAATAAACATTTGCAGAATTACATTTGACGGCATTTGAAATTTCAGAACAGTCGTTCACGTAGAAATAATTGCGAGAGAAGTCGAGATCTTATCTCTCCGACGCGACGGACAGATCGAGTCTAAAAGGATTCGATTCCTTTAGTTTCGTCTCAGCGTAAGCTGCAATTTATACGGGTGATACGAACGATTGAGAAATACTGCTGTTGAAATTCTTCCGAGGCGCAATTGGCGAGAGACTGTCGTCTCGGTCTCGACGAAAGTCTAAAGTTTCTCGGTACGAAGTGGACGTGGGTCACGACTTTTACGTCTCCGCAACTCTTTTACCACTACTTTACGCGACGCTACACCCGAAAACGTCGGCGTCCACCTGGCCACCTAAGGGCTTTGTGCGGTATCTCGTGTTTCGAGCACCCACAACTTTTGCTCCGAGCGTAACGGTGCACTTAGACGGAAGCTGGATAGGTAGATAGGTGGGCGCTCGCTTTTGCGAAACATCGAGATACAACGAGTGCGCGAGGAATGTCTGTGGTTCGGTGAAAACCGAAATTACGAGGGTTAATGGAAGTCCGGGGCGAGGCTCGTTCGGTCGCGTACTAAAGAAGGGAACGGACAACGAGAGATCGCGGAAGGGTCTCACCTTGTAAAGTAAATCGTTCCGGAGAAAAGAGTGGTCCGCTTCTCTCGCTGCTAAAAACAAAATGTACCAAGCCATTTGTCGTTACGAAATGTAACAATAAAGCTATGTAGGCTCGAGAGGGTCTTTTAGTCCGTGTCGGTCTTACATCATCCGAGATTCAGCGAGACGTGCTGAAAGAAGTTACCCTTTTGCTTCTCCCCAATTGAGTTAAAAGAGCTCTTTGTGTAATTGAGCTATCGTGAGAAGGACGGAAATTATTTAACGAGTGAACTGGCTTTATTGCGCAATGAGGGGGTAGAGTTACAATGACTACGTGATATTCATCGCAAGATAATATTTTTCAATGAGTATTCAGGTCGGATCTCGAAGGATGCGGTGCTACCGTCGTTAAAGGGTAAAGACACGCTGCCATCTAGAACGAGCCCAGCATCAAAGCCCATCGACTTGACCTTGATTCTGCAACATATTCGCCTGTCCGAAATAAGCTTTGGCCAGAGCGAACTTCGAGACATCTCGTATATCATATATGCCATTTTTAAATTTTCTGTAATGCAAATTCGATATCTTAGTAATCAGCTTAATATTTTTGTTATACCTAGTACAGCCTAGTCCTTGATATTATCGTTAATCTTCAATGACTACTTGGAGAAATATCATTGAAAATTCGGAAGACACTTTGATTTTGTAGTTCATTACCTGGCGGGAACAGAAGATTACTATGATACTTGTGCAACACTTTACAGGTTTCTTTCTCGTCGAGTTGCCTACCAGTTGCCATGGCCGCGAGGGTTTGAACGGTTTCAGCGGTCTGTAAATTCATCGTCCTGAACCAGGACCGAGAACCCGATCCTGTGCAGACGCAGATACCCGAGGAACGGATCACGAACTTCTCCTCGTCGTCGGCCTGAATCGTCATCATGATCGGTCTCGACGCTAAAAATTCGGCCATGAACACCTGGAAGCGCGTGATGAGGGTTATCGATCGGCACCGGGGTAGAAACGCTTTACGTCAAGATGTAACCTCGTTTAATGCCAGCCAAGGTAAAATTCTCCGGCGGGGCTGCAGGGCATCCGCTATTTTCCTCTGAGTGGATCTCATGAGTGCGCTGCGAAGATTTCATTTGTTTAGCGCGCGCCTTTGGAGAGACGTCGCGAAACTTGAAAGGAATTAATGGAACGCGAGAACGAGTTTACGAAAGAGAGATTACATAGAGAGTAATGGAATATCAAGTGTGCGATGGTTAAATTGTTTCACGCTCGAAAATGTCGAATTAAATCTAATCGTCGAACTAAATCCTTTTTCGACACTTTTTTCCCCCGGTTAATCGATAGATACGCGTTTAAGACGCTCCACCGCATTGCGTCGCGTCGCCCCGTAAAATTTGCGCGAATTCAGAAGTTATGGCCTCCTTGCGCAAGTCGTAACGTAACTACGCGGGGCCTTGTAATTTACAAGTTATAACTACCGAAGTTATAACGCGCATAAGCTGTAGTTCGGAACTTCGGTTGCGGGGAAAGGACCAGGCCGCGGGCCGGGCTATGAAGACTGTAGCATCTTCACGAAGGCGCGGGGTCGGCGATACCCAGGCTGCTTATTTCAACTTTAGACCGCGCCGTGGGAATAGCCGGTAAATAAAAGTTTAGCGCGGGACGTCATTCTCGCGACCGGCGCTTTAATGTTTCTCTATCTGCGCGGGCTAACGGAATTATACGGTACATTTTCTCGCGCCGGTGTTTCCCTCACGCGGCGACGGCGAACGCGTGCGTCTCCGCCCCGACCTTGTTACTTCTCATTTCGCTATGCAGCCGTGCTCGCAAAACCATTCTCCGACTATCAAAAAGCATTCAAGCTCTTATCTTTTTGTGTTACGTTAATGCTGCTCCGAAGAAATTTCCTTTTCAGGCATTCGTGAATAAAGGAGATGCCTTGCCGTGCCACGCAAGTCTCTTTCTCACTTTATTCGGCTCTATTCGCTTTTGGCACATCTGATTTATTAATACTATTATTCTATAACGTACTCCAACTCGCTTTCACGACTCAAGTGAAAATGACGACTGCATCTCCGAGAGGAATACTGAGAAATTTTCCAGATAAAACGTGAAATACAATCTTGCGCAAGAAAAGCGAGATAAATGACTTTATGACATGGATTTCCCTTTAAGAGAAAAACTTTTTTCGACGCAAGTTTTTCTCAGCAAAATACGCTGACTTATAAAGCAAAAAAAAAAAATTACGTTAATCGCGTTTCTACTATCATAGAGAATAAACTAGAGGCCAATTTACTCACTCGATTCTTTTTTCGCCTTGTATGCGACTCTTTTCGTGCACGTGAAAGGGCTGTCGATAGAGTCCTTCTCCTGTCATTACCGTACGTATGCGACTTCTCATCAAGACAACGTAATCCCCCGTACGCAATTTTTCGAATATCCTCTCGATGTCCGCGCTATGATCGATCGCCAGTGTGAAGGTATTGCTAGTTCCGGGATGCGGATTAATGCCGAATATTGGAGTCTTGTTGCTCGTTATCAGCTTCGAGGCTGAGAGAAAGGTGCCGTCGCCGCCGATCGCGATCACCAAGTCGGCCCAATCTACGCATTTACTCGCGTCGCCTATTCTGTATTCGAATATAAATAAATCATTCCTTGCATTTAGTTAATTAACAGTATTGTTTTGTGATTTCCGACATAAATTGGAGCATCGACCTCGGGAAATTATGTCGCGAATTTTCCACTTCGAGAAGAAAAAGCCCTACGGTAACGGCAGGTTCGTTAACTTACAAAGTAACTCGCTCGTAAAGTACATTACCTTTTCATAATCCGATAACTGACGTCGAGATTACGTAGAATCCGCGCAAGTTCTTTTTCGCAGGCAAGCTGCCGATGATGCTCCGCGAGGATCTCGTCGGGGTCTATATTTTGTTTTCTCAACCGACTCAGTAACTGATTATTCGATAAATCAGAATGCGTGGTTTTAAGAAACTCGAAAGCGGATAGTTTCGAGATGCCGAGCACGCGTTTCGGCCAATGCCGATTGTCTAGCAAACAATTTAATAGTCCCATCCTTAACGTTTCACGTATCACGCGATAATTTTACATATCGCTGCTCAATGTTAATCCAGATTAATTCAGTTTACGTTAGGTTATGGTATAATTGTCAAATCTTTAAGAAAACATTTACGTCAAACGAGCAAAAATTAAGCATTCTGCTTAACCAAGTAAATTGCGTATTTATTTTTAGAAACAATAAATTGACTAATTGTATCAAATAAACTGTTTTTTTTATTAATTTCTTGAATATGCCATGATTGTGGAATCTTTAAAGCGATGAATTATTAGCAACATCCTCCGCAGCTCGGATTTTCAACACCGCAGCATTCCAAACCGGTGTTTCTCGGCAAGCAGCCCATTTCACGTTTCACTACCGGAATTTGCGCAACTATATACACACACACATATATCTATATATATATATATATATATCAGTCTTTTCGCACGATTGACCGTGATGGTCCGCAAAAAAAACTTTTGTACGTCGAGCATTTATATTCAGCGCATTAGCAAAATTCAAATGTATAATGTATGTGATACTATGACAATTCTGCACGCATATACTAGACAGAGAGAGAAATAGACAAATAAAGAAATTTGTTCTGGTCTAGGATACACAATACTCAGAAGGGATAATTGGATAATAAAATTTAGCATAAACTAGTGCAATTAAAATATTAATAATGATAACAATAACAATAACAATAATAATAATAATAATAATAATAATAATAATAATAATAATAAAATATGGATAATAAAATATCGGAATTAAAAACCGAGAAAAAGAAAGAAATAGAATCCAAAATGTAATATTACTATAAATGTTTAGCAAAAGCGAAACAAAGCTACATTATGACTATACTATAAACAGCCATAAAGCATTGTATGTTATAAGGATGAGTTTGTTAAATCGTATAACTCACTTGCAAGGAAGATCTCTCCGTGGTAACAATCCGCGTTTAACTTTAGCCAAATTAACGAGCAGCCCTTTCACCGTCATTGACGTAGTCTCGTCTTTCATAGCGAGTCGCGCGTGTTTCTCGCAAATGGCACGAGACTATCGAGCACGGAGTTTCCTGGAATATAGGACTGGTTCTTGGTCGGAATTGGACGGTCCAAAGACGTTGAACACGGAGACGTGTCGTACAACGGCGGTGGCGGACAGGCTGCTGGACACGGCAGTGATTTACACGGGGACGGTTTACATGAGGGTGGTTTACACGCCGGCGGATTACATGGTGGCAGATTGCAGCACGGAGGTGGGCCAGACCAGAGGTGGATGCCACGGCCGGGTTGCAAGCCGGCGGACGACGGGACATGGTACACAGGCACAACGGTAACAACAACAACGGGGGGGTTGCGGACCGAGGGAGGACGCGTGTTGTCGCCTGTGTTTAATCAACTTAGCGTGATAAGGCGACGGATAGAGACATCGAGGGGCATTATAGGGAGACCCTTCGTCGTACCCTCCTCGACTCTTCTACGCTGGGAATCTCCTATCGAGGAAGCGTGCCTTCATGGTCTTCGCGAAGCCTGATGTTACGAAGTTTCCTCGCTGTTACTTCGCGCAATTCAGCGCAGTTGCAGCTCCGCCAGTTCGCCTCGCCTTCTACGTTGTCATTATCGTCGCCCGTAGAGCAACTCCATACTGGCAACCTCCAGTGTCGTCGCCGACATCAGCGTTCTCGAATGCGGTACTTAGCGTGAAAGGCGGGTGCATGGTGCATCGTTCTGTCGAAGGATATCGTACTTCCTTCGCCTCGCGGGCAAAGTTTGGTACGATGCCGAAGTTGAATAGTAAATCTTCCGACGCCGCCTGTCTGATGCATCCACCAGGACGACGTTAAGTCTTGCCACTACATAAAGCTACCCCGTTATACGATCGAAACGCTTATGACAGCGGCAAGCATGTCCTAACACTGCCTGTGTGGTTCATGATGCACTTGTTCCTTGAGTGGCTTAGACTCTTCCGTTTATCTTATACTCAGAGAGCTCACCAAGTAGATTGCCATAAACTTCGATGAAGTTTTCGTCTTGATGTATTTCGAGTATAAAGACTGCTTAAGTTACGAGATTCTCCCAAATCGTCTTCTCGCATGTCTCGACTGATTGACTGTATGATAGATCTACCGAAATACGAAAAATATATAAATAATTAATTGTATAAATAAATAATTAGACATCATTTTATCTCTGTAAACTCTTGGATAATAACTTTTTAGCTAAAAAGTTTTGTTATTCATTTTCCTTTTCATCATAAAATTAATTTTACTGAAAAAAACTAAGAAAATTAATAAATACCTTCCCGATCGCGCGTAAATAGGTACGCCGCACATATACTTTCGCTTTCCAGACCAGATTTTTGGCCGTTGCATCCGGCAGGTGGGCTACTAAGGAACTTCGCAACGAACTTCTGGCGAAATTCCTTCCGCCGCAATCGCCAACCGCGAAGGCCGCTTAAGGATATGACGACGTCCCCGCTGGGGCCCGTTGATGCAAAGTTCTCCGGCTGCCCGCAAGCTCTTTTCGACACTGTTTGGCGTTTCTTGCGAAAACGGTAACGATCTTTCGCGTCTGCGGCGGTTTCTTCTTGTCCGTGGATATTTCCCAAGTTAAGTAGCTTCGCAACCGAATGAAAAAACGATCAGACGATCTCGGTCTGTCTCGGTCCTTTCACGACTGGCAATTTTTCCGTAACAGGCGTTTTCTTGCGATGCAAAAGTATTTCTTTTGTGATTTTTGTCGTTTCTCGAAATGCAGATTCGAGTTATTTCGTTATTAGCGAATAATCATAAAGTAATCATCATAATAAGTAGTGTATAAACTGCTATGGAAACACATAATCACTTTGTCCGCATTAATATATCGTATGATACGTCATCTTGTTGTCTAGCATCAATGCGTCGACTGCCGCACGTATATCGCGACTATATTTAGCGCGTTATTAATTTTAATTATTAATATGCATGCGCGTTGGACAGGACGCAAAACTTTATGGCTATTCGCACATACGGGTTAATAACTAAAATTAGTATGTAGTATAATTAGGATTGACGCACGTCACAGGCTGTGGTACAGATTACGTCGCGTATTTATCCATTTTAATTTGCTCAGTCCCCATCGTAACATCGTCCGGCCTTGTACCGTAAATTTTATAAAAAAATTATACATGAGCGACAAAAAACGGCATGTTAATTTTATATCTCCGTTACGATTGATTCCGAATTATTCAGCGAAGTTAAATATCATATGTTGCCTTGTCAGTATCAATTATGTCGTAACAAATGCTCCGATGTCCATGGATGCGTGAAATATAAATTTCCCTTTGTCCAGTAATATGATCGATCCCTGCCGCAGTGTTGATTGCTGTTCCGCACTGGACAACTGTCATTGCAATGATAATATCCCATTCGAACGTTGTCAATATTATTTAAATGCGGATAACAATATTTTGCGTCGTTCTTAAAATACGTTTTGGTACATAATGAATTTTCAAATGTTACCCTATGTTTTGGGCAGTCATTGATGTTACAATATCTGGACGAAGCGTGGCTATCAAGCGGCTTCGAATGACAGCCGGCACGGTATTCGGTTGCGTACGAATCTTGCAGGGGACGGCAATGAGTGGGGCTTAAAGTAGCGTTCCGTGTAGCTTCATTCTGCGAGCCGAAGCACGGAGTAATCCAAACATCGCAACATTTGGGTCTTTCGAGATAGATGTTGTGAGGTATTAAATCTTCGCAATGTCTTGTTGGCTGTAGGCATTTTAGCGGTTTACTTCGACAATCTTGATACATTTTCATTGTTGGTCTTTCGAAGGAATTAAAAGACATAGAAGATCTTATCGTTTGAGGTGGGGAGAAAGAGAGACACCCGTATTTCGGGAGATTGTCGGAATCCTTAGGTATGCGTATTTCCTCGAACTGCGGCACTTTTCTTTCTTTCGTCATATATGAATCATTAATGCGATATTTGTCTCGATATTTTGGCTTTTTATGTCTGAGTGGCACAGATTCTTGAAGGATATCTTTGGCTACTTGTGCGGGTTCTTCTACCTGCGAAGTTTTGATAGAGGAATCAATAATACCATTTTTTACTATAGTGGCTCTCCGTCTTGAAGCACCAGTCTGAATGTCGTTTGGCTGATATACATCTAAAGATTTAGAATTATCCTTTTTTAGCTTCGGTATACAATTTATAATTATAGGATTGACAGGGGCACGTTTGTCTAACGTTGGTCGTAAATAAATTTTCTTCGGTGAATCTTCGTCTCCTTTTTTCTTTTTCCTAGCAGTAGTAGTAACAGTATCTATTTCCGGATACATGAGTGATACTGTACGAGTGTTTTCAGTCTTTTTTAAGTGTTTCATCGATGGAATTACTTGGATACTCGCAGTATCCAACGATTCATCTAAGCATGCCGAAAAGTCTCGCGAATTTGGTACTTGCGTATCCGTGAGCGTCTCTGGTTGCATTACGGTCACTGCAGCAGCTGCCACAGCAGTTGGTTCTTCTTCCGCGTAGATGATCGAAGATATTAATGGTTTCGTGCTCTCAAATGTTTCCTCTTCCATCTCATATCTCATCGACGTCACCGATACGGACGCGAGGATCGAAGCCACCTGCTCTTTCGTGGAAACGAGACGCGCTTTCTCCGTCAAAGCATCCGAGATTTTTGCAATTTCCTTGAGAATAAAGTCTGCGTACCGCCGCTCCTCGCATGCTTTCGCGAAAGCGTCAGGGCTTGTCTTCAAACTGAATTCCCCGTCTACGGTATCGCTTTGAATCCCGATGCATAGCGGACCGCAGCCATGCTCCGGCGCGGCGTCATCCGCGTACCTCGCCGTGTATTCCGCATATCGATAAGATGCGCCGCGTACACAGCGTCCTACGACGCCTGAAAGATTTTCGTGAGTAACTTTATCAAAAACCTCGCCGGATCGTGTAGTGGAGGTGATTGCATCGGCCATTTGTTGCTTGATCATAGCAACAGTTCCTACGTCAGATTT